CGTTGAGATTGATTCATTTTTGTGCTGGTGAAGACGACAACACGGTTGAATGATGATGGAGAAAGTTAGAAAGACAAGCACATGATGAAAAAGTGAAAGGTAATGTAAGAGAGAAAAGGATTTGATTCTCTTTCATTTTTATTCAGGGAAACGATTGAATAGCGTATTTGTCAGGGAAGCAGTGATGATGGTCAATGCTATACGCACGGTAGACTGTTTATGGGTGCACTTGCGTGTGCATTTTAACTTACTGCAATGGCTGATTGATAGACTAGAATAGGTCTGTTGTACAAGGATGGCGATGATGTTGATGACATTAAGCTTTTCTGCTTGATAGTCCAAGAAAATGACAAAGAAGACTATCGATTTCCAACAAATGATGTCGAGTAGAGTACGGTGCAAATGGAGTTGTCGACTAGTTGGGGGGGGGCTACAGTACAATACTTTGTATGAGTGGACATGAATTGGCTGTCAAGACGGTGATTGCTTTCTACCTTTGGCTCTTACCTCAATTTGAAAGTCGAAAAGGCCTAAAACGCGGCGATATAGGGAACAAAAGTGTGCAACGTAAGGCACCTTCCAAGTATTGAGCTCAGAAGTCATCAATGAAACTTGGCCTGAATGACAAATACAAACGTTGAGCGTGTAATGGCGTCTGAATGGGACAGTCCAATTTCCACTTGATTTTTCACTTTGTTTGGAAAGCGTCAATCATTTAATGACGACGATGCAAGGATGCCCAGCAATAATTAATGTTGAAATCACTTTTATCCAGAGGTAAGCCACAGTTGAAAACGCTTGATCCAATCTTTAACAGCTCTCTTTCTACTTTGTACAACACCAGCACAATCAGTACAAAGGGCAAAAAAAAGATTTCTCTTTCTCTCTCTCTCTCTCTACTCTCTTGGCAGGGATACAGTGGAAAAAAAAAAATTGCCTTGACGCTACGCTCCTTGTCCTTGGATTTCTTCCTTCCTTTTTACATTCAAAGCGTTGGTGAAATGCAATGGAAGCCAATGGACGATTGCTTTTGTTGTAATTTTTCTCTCTTCAACAAGTACCGCAAGGCGCTCAATACTGCAGTGGTTTGCATTAAAATTCAAAGGTAAATAATGGATATTAAAATGCAATTCTTTCTCCTCTTTTACCTACTGCCACTGAATCAACGTATCCACTTTTTCCAGCCACAGACTTTCTTTCAAACAATAATAATGACTAGAATGGCCATGGCGCTGAGCAAGGCCAGTGGCGCTTCAGTACGATGCGACTGACCCGTAGCGATGATTCAATCACTCTACAGTACAGTCCGTCAAGGGCATTTTTTCACTCTTTTGCCTGCAGTTTACAGTACAAAGCTTGGTTGCACTGTACACTGTACACTGTACAGTACTGTACCAACAGGTGTACAGTACAATACTGTACAGTACAAGGAGTGTCCGTCCATCCCTCCTAATCTGCCCGCTGCATTGAAGCAACTTGCTTTCAAACAATAATCATGACTAGGCTGTCCATGGCGCTTCAGTACGATGTGACTGACCCGTAGCGATGATTCAATCACTTTACAGTACCGTCCATCATGGGCATTTTTTCACTCTTTTGCCTGCGGTTTACAGTACGAAGCTTGGTTGCACTGTACTGTACAGCGTACTGTACTGTACTGTACACTACAGTAGACACTGTACAGTACAGTACAGTACTGTACACTACACTACAGTACAATGGGTGTCCGTCCGTCCGCCCCGCCCCCCTCCAATCTATCCGCTGCATTGAAGCAGACTTTCTTTCAAACAATAATCATGACTAGAATGTCAATGGCGCTTCACTACGATACGACTGACCCGTAGCGATGATTCAATCACTCTACAGTACCGTCCATCATGGGCATTTTTTCACCCTTTTGCCTGCAGTTTACAGTACAAAGTTTGGTTGCACTGTACACTGTACAGTACTGTACCAACAGGTGTACAGTACAGTACATTACTGTACAATTAGGACATCCCCCCCAATCTGCCCGCTGCTTTGATGCGGACTAAAACGACCGTGTCAACGTGTCGCAAAATCTCCTTGGAATACACTAGTACTGTACTACACGTTAGCGTACGCACTGTACTGGTAGTCGGTCGAGTACGAGTCACTTGCACTCATCACAATAACAATATCAATGGTAATGATAATGATTATCATTACTATTATTTGTATTATGAGGAGCAGGAGAAAAGAGAGAAGGCCATCAATGATCACTTGCTGTGACTTTTTTCTTTCTAAGAGAACAATTTCAATGACAGAATGCTTTTATCATGACCCGCCATTCCAATGCAAGAGATCAGTTGTAGGCTTAGTTCAAGCCTTCAACAATATCGTCGTTGCAGATTCAGTCAAGGATCCCTTGCATCCTAGCGCGATTTTGATCCAACGCGATTAGTCGATTGACTAACAAAACGATGCTTACAGGATCAATTTGACAATGGCAATGTCTCTCATTTTGAGCCAAAGCATCAAGTCGCCGACTATTCACCTTCATCAGCTCCATTTCAGTGCAGTAGAAACAGCACTGTATCTATGGAGACAGTGATGGGAACAAATGAGACGACGATCTACTTTCATCACTCACTGGCCGTGTAAAAAAAACGACAATCGTTTGTCCTAGTACAGTACAGTACCCGGCTTGGAAATGCTATCCTAGACATTGCAACCACAAAACTACGATACTCCATAGCAGCAGTACACTATAGTATAGTATAGAGAACAACAGCATTGGATCAATCAGTCAATACCATCGAGTTCAGCCAAAAAAAAAACATCCACTCCATCGTCAATACTAACAAATGATGACAATCTTCAATGCTACCACCAAAGCTCATTGAATTCAACAGTCTGTTTGTCCATCAGTCCATGCAAGACTTTACTAATTTATGCAATGTTGATGAGACTGTAGAGGACTGTAAACGTAGACATCGCCTGGGGGTGCTGAGCAACGCATTGTGGCGAGTGTGGTAAAATACGGAGTACAGGGGTCTTGCATGGGTAATCGACCCAACTGATCGTAGACTGGACTCGACCATAGTACACACTGACAACCTTGACAGCCAACCAGCCAGCTGCACCCTACTCCATGCACACACTATCGCACACCTGTACCCATCCTATGGACCCAGTCGGCTTGATGAATTCTTCTCTTCTTTATTGTACTGTGCAACCATCGCACAAACAGAATTCATTACTAGCCAAATGAATAAAATGACGACTGTATCTCCACCCTAAATGACCATGCGACTACAACAGATGGTCATTCAATAAATTAATTAATTTATCAATATAACCGAGTTCCAATGGATGCACTATCGTGACATATTCTCACAACACAATTCTTTGATCTGACGTGTGATTCTACTCACAAGTCGCAACAGTGTTTTTCAACTTGGTTATCGACTACACACCATCATCATAACAACACTAATGATATAATGGATCTTTCAGAGATGATATTTGTCTATGAGTAAAAGCTGTAAACAACACATGGACTATTTAATGAATCCAACACACTTTATACACTCATACTTGGGTCTATTTTTTCCATTTTGAAATGGTCAATATGGTCTAGACCGGACTCGTTAGCCACTTGGGTCATGATTAATGAACTGTTTTCCCCCCCCCCCAAAAAAAAAATTGTTTCCTAATCCATAACACATACGTCCATTGCCATTCCTCTTCATGGCAGCGTTTGTTCATAATTCAATCTTGAATGTAACACTACACTGTATCGATGTCATGACTCGTATATAGACTGATCAGCCAGGAACTACTCGCAAGTAAAATGTCGTCTAAATAGCATTCAATGGAACATAACTTAATTAATATCCAATAATCACTCAATTACTGTTATATGATTACAAGATGGAGCATCCGGCCTTTTGCTGTCCGTAGCAGCAAAGCTGAGTTGTGATGTTTCTCACGAAAACCGTGTTTGCGATAGTATGGGTATTGAAAATGAAGAAGGATGATTCTTTTACAAGTCATTTTACTGTACTGTATCACTGACATCCTACACTGCCCTGTTGTATAAGTTAGACAGTGTCATGAAACATGGACTGACTGACTGACTCCTAGGAACAAGAGCTGGCTGGGAAACTTCTTTTGGACGGACAGATATTGGACCTTATTTTGGCAGACAATCCATTGTGTCAAACACTTGATTATGGAATTACTTTCTTTAGTATGCAGACGGTCGATTCTGAATGGACCGATTTTTTCTCAATGAAGTCATATTACATTGCCTTCCATTCCCTGTTACTAAGCTTAGTTTAGAGGCAGTCCATTTAGATCATAAACATTATTCAAATGAATACGAGTGATTTCCAAAACAGACACGGAAGATCTAAACTGAGTAAAACTAGTTTCCACATTTTCGTCAGTATCCGCTCTGAAAAGTCCGTCTGTCCGAAGAGAGTAGCCAGTCCAGGTCTTTTTTCCAGTGGTCCGTGGGTTGTTTACTAACCTATGAGTGAGCACTGAGCAAGTCCATAAATTAGCCACCACAAGCAAGCAGGTAGTAAGCCGCAAAATTCATAGACTACTAGTGCAAACTCCCGTCGCTTTGCTGACGGTTTACGATAATGTGCTCATTTAACAGATAGTATTACCATTTGATAGACCTATCAGAGGTTCAGTAACTTTTTACCGTGTACTAAGCAAGAAGGCAGTAAGCCGCAACATTCATAAACTATCACAGTCCAGTGCGGTCCAGCGCGGTCCAGTACTGGACTACAGTACACAGTGTACAGTACGTCGAATACAGTATAAATACCGCACTCGACACTGTACTCAAAAGAGAGACATCGCTCACAGGCCAACTATTTTACTGGTCATTTCAACTCTACCGTCTGTCTGTAACTGGACACTATGTCTCTATACAAAATCCACGTACAGTACCGTTTCGCTACACATGCGCACATCCAACTTCAAGCCAAGAAGACAAGTCGCGTGGTAAAGTAGAAAAAATCCTCTTTTGCCTTCATCAACTCATCAAGTACGCCATCATGGGTCGCATGCACACACCTGGGTAAGTCTTTTACCAGCCTATTTCATGTTGTAAACTGGATTCTTTTCCATAAAACTACACTATTCATGATATGGAAAGCCGTTGTGATCATTTTAGCGCAGTTGAACAACTTATTGGATTCAAAAAAATGATATTGGTGCTAGTCTTGAAGTCTTTTACCAACCTGATACAAGAGATGCTGCACACTCCTACTGTACTATGCATGATACGACGACACGATGGAAAATAACCATCTTCAACCACTTAATTGCAAGGAGTCATACAGTGAAATCAATCGTTTAGTGTCATAGGAACTATTTGACAAGTCAGTTGGACATTATTTTCACCAGAAATTGCGTTTTCTTCTATCTTTGAATGATACAATAATCATGAATATTTCACCGTCGGACTCTCTTGCTACCATACTATACTGTAGTTGTTTCCTCATCACGTCTGGTCCCTTTTACAATTAGATCAATCTTTTAAAACGGGAATCCTCTAATCCGCTATACAACATGACTATAAGGATAGAGTAGTTGGTTATCATTCTTTCTTCTCCAAAATTCTCTCTCGTAGCAACAGTAATCATGTAGCAAATGATCATCATTATCACAGTCGAACGCCACCGTTCACTGACCATCAATAGCTTTGATTGATCCACCTTGATTGCCTTCTAATCGATACCATCACTTGCCTTGATCACTTTAGCAAAGGTATATCTTCCTCGGCCTTGCCTTACCGCCGAAGTGTTCCAACTGTAAGTACCAATAATGGCAAAAAGGAGCCTTCACTCTTTGTACTACCTATTCAACGACCAACATCTCACTAATAACGTATTCCCTTTATAGTGGCTAAAACTTTCATCTGACGAAGTCAAGGATATGATTTACAAATTAGCTAAAAAGGGCTTGAAACCTTCCGAAATTGGTGTACAATTGAGGGATTCTTCTGGAATTGCTCAAGTCCGCCGTGTCACTGGCAATAAAATCTTAAGAATCCTCAAGAAAAAAGGTACCAGCACATTCTTAATTCTTATCAAGTAGAGAATACGATCCTTGCAATTCGAGAGGATAAGCACGTCCTATAGTAGCAATAATGTAATGATTGTATACCGTTCATCCTGGCAAGGTCTTGCACCTGAAATCCCTGAAGATTTGTATCATTTGATCAAGAAAGCTGTGGCTGTCCGCAAGCACTTGGAGCATAACCGTAAAGTAAGCATTTTTCATAACCTACAGTAGCCCTGATCATTTCTTACAATAAATGATCAACACAGATGGAAGCACTGCTAAAATTTTCTAAAATATGACGAATCATTAGGACAGGGATTCCAAATTCAGACTGATTCTAATCGAAAGCAGAATTCATCGTTTGGCTCGATACTATAAATCTACCTCAGTTTTACCACCAAATTGGAAGTAGTAAGTACTATCAAGAGTTGCATGTAAAACTCGTCTCTAGCATAATCATCAGATCTAAATCAGATTTGCTTTTTCTTTTACAGCGAATCGGCAACAGCTTCCGCCCTGGTTGCGTAAACCTTTTCATCTTACTTGTGAATAAACTAGATATAGATGAATGTAATTAACATTGCCAATTAAAGAAGTGTTTGAAGACAAATTAATGCAATTGACTTTGTAGTTCTTCTATGTAAGCTGCGTGGAGAAATCCTTCGCTACCAAAGAATCATAACTCTCCAACCCAATCTGCATATAATTCTGCTGTCAAATTTATCCAAGCATGCTATACATCGTACATTGCTTAACTTTGTAATTTCGCAATGTAAGACTGATCTATAACATACAGTAAAATAGAAATTGAAAATCCATGTAGAGTGTACAGTGGATATTTATTTTCCACAATCTAGACTGTATAGAGGTTTCGGCATTACTGATAACCGCCATGCTATTTCCAGCGATAACCGTGTTCCTAACGTCTACGTGCAATATGTAGCCAACATGGTAGCATAGTTCAGCGTATACCAATATGAAAATAGCAAACGCTAGTTCACTCACACCGAACAGTAACGTGAAGTAGTTGAATATTCCTTCTGTCAATATCAACTCTGTATTTCCACGTCCATTTCCCGACATTAATTAAAGATGGAGCCTATCAAGCAATGTCGTTACTGTACTGTAATGCGATGCTGGGGGACATTTTTTAATCAAAGATGAACAGTCTTGCCTCTACTCGTTGAACAACATTTTAAAATCGATATCACCAGTTACTGTCTTATAATGAAGAAATAGAGCCGCTTAGGCGACTACAATATCCGATCGCAGAATATAATGCAATGCTGGGGGCATTTTTAATCAAAGATTAGCAGTCTTGCCTCTACTCGTTGAACAACATTTTAAAATCGATATCACCAGTTACTGTCTTATAATGAAGAAATAGAGCAGCGTAGGCGACGACAATATCCGATAGCAGAAATAACTATAGTTAGGGTTTTTACTTGTAGTGTAGTTCCTATCGATCTGGATGTAGTTAATCAGTAGATTCGCCTTGTGCGCGTGCTTGCACTCAGTAAAAATTCATATTTGCAGAACGAGACTACAGTAGGCATCGATGTAATAGAGTAAAGACTGCAATCTATCTGTTTCGTTGAGGGATTGAGCTGTTATTTGCATGATAGAGAACGAAACTTTGTCAAAATCATTGGATAAATCTTTATTGCTGCAATCCTGTACTGTGGTAAATGCCCGTCCGCACGATCTATCGATCAACCAGAATCTTACTGTAGAATAGCGTTTAAAGAGAGTGAACTCGGCAAACTACCTCATACAGTTTACGGATCAAGCTGTTGCTGGTTGCAATCTACTGAACAGAACTCTTCAATTCCGTTACAATCACTGGATAATCTAGGGAGTGAAATAGAAATTGCGAAATAGTTAGGCCTGAAAACGATGAGTAAAAGACTTGGAAAGATTGAAGAGTTATTGGTATAACCAATATCAACACATTAACGCTGGTTTTTACATGTAATAAAAAGCAACCTTTGCTACGTACAAAATTGAGCAAGAATCGTTACCAATAGGCAGCAACAAGCAGGTTTGTGGAGTTGAGATGCTACACTGTAGTAGTCCTTATTAAATTAACCAGTAGAAGGGCCCGGATTGCATCGACCTACTCGTCAATTCTATTCATAGTTTACTGACGACATTGCTTGATCCATTTGCAGCATATTCCGTTTCTTTGAGTGAATCTTTATTTCAATCAAAATTATAGGTCGCTTTATCCCAAGACACCTAAATTACTGTACTTTGCATTACCTACATCTATATTCATGGTACTTCGATTGCAGTACAGTATATTCTTATGGCAGTTATGTAATTTCATTACCTGTACAAGTTACCATCATAATGTTCAAACATTTTTAAGTGCATCCTAGCTGCAAACTACTGATAGCTGCTACATGCTACAGATCTACGAGCACACTTTTCCTAAGTATGCTCCAATTAATTATTGCCATCATAAGCATCTCTAAATATTGCAGTAAGCAACGGCTTGAAGTGATTAACACGCCTTATGGGTTTGTAGTAAATCACTCATCGCTGTGTAGGATACAACTAGGTGTATGCGGACACTGCGACGCAATTTTGCAACAACATGCATTAAATTACTTGTGTTCAAGACCATCAGCTTTGACTTTTCAAATCAAATTGCTCCAGCATTTCAGAACGACAGATAGGCGTTCTCCTATACATAAAATACGCATTCAATAGCATTGTAGTTGACTTAAATTAACCAACACTTTATTCCATTATAATTCTTTTGCTTAGGATCTCTAAAACATTGACCATCATGCCTTTAAGGTGGATATTTTTTGATGCTACAAACACTTTATTTGGCGTACGCTCATCAGCAGGTGAACAATACGCGGAAGCAATCTTCAAGCTATTCCAAATACAAATGCCTCCGAGTACAATCAATCGTCATTTCGAAATTTACTGGAAACAGTTCAATAAAACCAAGCCTAATTTTGGCCAATCGTCTGGTATTACAGCCAAAGAATGGTGGCATCAACTTGTCACTCATACTCTGTCAGATTCCGGTTTAAAATGCCAATCCAAGATCGACACCGCTTTTGAACGTTTATGGACCCAATATCGGTCTTCTCCTTCATGGTCTGTCTATCCCGATGTTGAACCAACCTTAATAAAATTGAAAGAAAAACAATTACCACTAGGCATTATTTCGAACTTTGATCAGCGTCTACATGATCTACTCCCAAAGTTAAAGCTTAACCATTACTTTGATAAAGTTATTACATGTGTAGCAGCGGGTCATGCAAAGCCGGACCTAGGCATATTTCACTATGCACTTCGAGATTTACCAGATATACCAGCTCATCAATGTGCTTACATTGGTGACAGTCTCGAAGTAGACTACTATCCAGCGGAAAAGGCTGGTATGATTTCCTACTTAGTGCAACGACAAAGTGATCCTAACTTAACTCCTAACGCTAATAATACTCTCCCAACTAATGTAAGAACATTAAAAAGTCTAGCTGATATTTTAAATTATGTTTAAGTACGTTTACTAATATAGAGTTGACCAATATTGAAATGCCTAGCCGATATCTTTAATGATGTTCTATAACGTTAATGAAACAACCTTATGGATGGATGCAACTGATTATATAGCTCTTTCTTGACAGATTACTATAATGACGATAATTTATGGCGTCAACATATAAAACGAATAATTTCATCACTGTTATCATTTGATAATGGATAGTGTATGAGAATTAGTTTTTATTTACTTATAAAACGTTCAATTTTCAATCTTGAATAATATGTACAATTAATAAATGTAGTAGTGATAGTCATTTCATCTGAACCAATTCGATATGATAATGCATTATGCCAATGAAGTACAGCTAAAATTGGTTACAATTTGATCGTCATCGAATGCAATATTAGTATAAAGTTAGTGGCAGTAATTAAACATTAGAATACAAAAATAAAGAAAAAATAATTTACAACAGCAAGATTTTATATTGTATCGATTAATCTCCAATAGTACTGTAATTTCTCCATAAAAGAATTAGCTTTAATGCTGTAGGAATGTACCCTGTCTATTGACTGTAATTAATATCATGTAGAAAATAGAATGGAGATTAAAATATGTGGTTATACTGTATGTCAAATTAGGACATTGATATGAATTGCTATTATTTCATTTTATATACCTAAATAGTACAAGTTTGGAGATCTTTGAAGTCAATACTTAAAATATAATATTAAATATCAGCTTAGACAGCTGCTCCTTTACAAAATAATTGTGATTAGAATAATAAGAATTCATGAAATAGTGACCGTAGTCACACTGTTGTAAAGCTTATATATATTAGAATTGTATAATTTAAATGACAGAAATACGACTAGTAAGTCAAAGCAGAATCATGGTAACTTCATGAAGCAGTGCAGCAATTATTGATAATAAAAAGATAGATATCTCATCAGTAATAAATCAATTCTTGTTATAATTTATAAATAGGAATTTGTCTTCGGTATATATTTATAATTATCAACCTATTCTAATTACGCTAATATTGCAGGTTGAGATTTTTATGATGCCGAATGTCAATATATTAAAAGCGACAACAACAGCTTTTCAGTAAAAGATTAATTAAAGGCAATTAACGTCCATGTATTCATTATTGTTTGATTTAATTTACAAAAATAAGCACAATCTAATAACTTACTGCTTGCCATGACCATATTACATGGATATTGCGAATGTCGCACGTGACAGTTTAATTAGAGCAACTACAGTTACAATAAGTAAGAAATAAATATTGCTATTAATAGTCATATAGTATATGTTAGTATTTGAGAGAACGATGCATTGAATATCCTATGTGATGGCAATATCTAATTATAGCCAAATTATACATTTACTAATATGTTCGAACCAAATATTTATGACAATGACTTGAAAAATTTCGTACACGATCTACAGTATTATCGAACGAGAAATTAATCAACTATAAAATTTAATTACTAAATGGCAAACATTCTATGGTATACGCCTATAGCATAGGAGAATGATACGATTTTACGCAATTTATACAGCTCATATAACTACTCTGAAATCAATACTTGTGGCTATACGGATTGTCCAACGTTTTTTTCACTTTATCCAAATGTTGACCACAGTCTACTTTCTTTTTACTTGCTAATATATTTAACATTCTTTTCTTGGCTACTTTACTTATTAATTGACTTGTTTCTTCATCATAAGAGCTATCCTTATTTTTATCCATCTTCTTTTTCATATTGTCTTCCATGCTTTTCTGTTTCAACCATTCATCATATGAAATACGTTTTTTTGATATATCGTCATTACGAATCGCAAGATGATTTTGCGAATTGCTAGAACTTGATTGTTTAGCTTCATCCTTTACTTTAGCTTTCGCTTTCTTCTTACGCCTTCGTTGATTAACTTTACTCGTTTCCTTTTTTAATGGGGTCTCTTGGTGTTTCGACGATGATACTGATGCCTTTTCAACATGGGCTTGTTCATCCTGTTGGCCATATTTTTCATTAACTTGATCATTGTCATGATTGACGTCAACATCTTGATTACTTTCTTGTGGAGTAGCTACAACTTGTTTCTCGGAGAGTACAGATGATGAGTTATTGACAGGATTAGCTGATTTTTCTTCTCGCTTTTTTATACGCAGCCAACGTTTAAATGAAGTTTTTGCTTGTCGTTCTCTAACTTCAGATTGTATCAGCCTTTCCTCCTTGCTTAATTTCTTCTGTTTACGTTCCTTTTTTATTTCCTGCCTTTTCTTAAGGGCAATTTCATCTTTCTGTCTAATCCAAGCAAGAATGTATTCATTCTTAGTATTATCAAGCCTATGATCGCTAGGTATCCACTCTTTTTTTACAACTGAAGCATCATCATCTTCTTTCTTAATTGATTTGTCAACGGATTGTTTGTTTAATGATTTTTTCTCTTTATGAGCTGCTCTATTTTGATTCTGTTCTTGATTATCCATCGGAAGAATTCTCTTCTTTTTCCTATGATTTTTGCGTTTAACTTTTTTCTTAGATAGTAAATTATTAATTTCCTGAGTCAGCGTTCCAACTAAGTTATATTTTCCATAGCCAGTCCTTGGTGATAAATAGGATTGGATGAGAACTGTTTTAATTTCGTCTTTACTTAATTCTATATTTGCACTTGTTAAGTTATTGCTGACGAAAGAAGCCTCATCGATATATTTTTCGTGAACGTCACTACCTTTGTAAGAATCGTTTTTTGCATGATCCACACTTTCAGATGCTACAAGATCATCAGTTGGCGTATCGAGTATCATGCTAAGGAAAGTTTCAGTCCCCATGGCCAATAAACGATTCAATTATTCCTTGTGTTGGCAGTAGTTTACTATAATGACTTGCAACTTACCATAGAAGTGGTTCAGAAAATTATACTTGATCAATATTCACCAGCGCATTAGCCTAGACGATAGTGATAGTAGAAAGTTTCCAGTTATAATTTAACACCATATTCTATATCTTCATGTAAACTATAGCAGCATAGATTTCGCTCCATAACGTTGGAACGTCCTTTGCTTATTAACCCAAGATGAAGTATAAAGTTAAACACCAATTGCGGCACCATAAACTGCTTATAAACTTACTCCTCAGCAATAAATGGTTTTAAAATTTCTACACAACTCGCTTGAACTTGGTTTTATAGCTCCTCCAAATTTAATAACTAATAATTAGGAAAATATTGTAAATAATCATAACAATATCATGTGTCTATCAACGTTAAGTAGATGGTATTGTGTTCTAGTTGCCATGGTAATGACGCCGCTGCAATATCATGGCTATAGCTAGCTCTAAGTGCTGATTACTAGCTGTATGCTACTTGGTATAGGCTTTGCTATCGAAAGACAATAAATAGACCTTGAGGAGAGTAAATCATATCAATAATAGTAATTAGCTGTAATTTCTGACATTATTTGACCTACTTAAACCACTCTATGCGTAAATTACATATTAACTGAATTGTGAATAGCGCCATAGCTTCTGATGATAGACAAGAATTGGCTAAAATCTGCTATAATTTCTGATATTGTTTGATCTACTTATATCACTCTACGCGTAGATTACATATTAACGGAATAGCGAATAATACCACTATGCCTGATAATGGACAAGACTTGATTTAATGGTAATACTTCACCATATTAGTGATGAAATTAAATGGAGATCTTAATACTTATTTGATAGATCATCATTCTGTAAATCTGCTACGGAAATAATTTCAAGAAATCCATTTTTCAATATAAATGATCAGGGAGTATTGAGTATCTGTATGGTATCTTACTATCAGCAGGCATTACTAGCTAATTATAATAGTGTAGATATAGAGGCATTTGATCTACTTATACAACAGAATCTATTCGTAAATTACACATGGGTTTTAACTGAGTAGTAACTAATGCCATTATTTCTGATAATGGACAGAATTGATTAGTGGTAAATACTTCATCATGTTGGTGATGGAACTAAATCAAGGCCTCAAGACGTATATTAGGGCATTTACATTTTACAATCTACTACTGAGATACTCTCAAGAAGTGAAAATGATTAAAGAGTATCGAGTATCCGTATGATAGCCCCTACTATCAAGAGGCGCCATCAGCAAATTATAATAGTGTAGGAGTAAGAGCCTACTGCAGACATAATGCAGCATAATACTGTCATGCTGGCAAATATGGGCATAATAAAATACGATGGGTACTATACTGTAGAATTAAGGCAGGTTGTAGGCCTTCATCAAATGTACTCTAGAATTCAATATTAAATGAATCTTGAATACAGTAAACCACACTAAGAGCGGTGATCAGCGACCGTATAATTTCTTGAGTTAGGAACTTGCGGTACATACGAGCACTCTTACAATACACTAAAAGAACTATCACATGGTAATATTAGCGGGTAGAGCAAGTGATGAGAACTACAGTAGAATTAAGATAGATTGGAGGGCAGTTTAAGCATGTCTATTGTCTACAGTAGACGGTAAATCAAATCCATCTTAACCGCAGGCAGTCGGTTTCTATAGCAACTGACTAAAGAGTAAATCGGATAATCGCGTGAATTTAGTTTTAGTAAACAACCTATGAAGAAGCTACCAGAGGCATTAACTGTATTGGATATGGAAAAGACATTTCTCAATCTTGAATACCAGTAAAGAATCTTTTATGGCCACCATGGATTAATATTTCATCTTCCATTCAAGCATCGATGTAAGTGACGAATTCTACGTTATAGGATTAAAAGCACCATTAGTCAAAGGTTGCCTTGTAAAGTATAATGATTAAATTAATTTTTAAGTACATATTACTTAATTATTAAGAGTAAAATAATAGTATTGTAATTTCGTCGCAGTCCTACCTCACTATCCTATGGCAGCGAAAGAATACGAAAAATTCTCTAGAAAACTTTTACTTTTACCTTTGAATTGGAATACCCCAGTTATTTTTTATGATTAATAATATAGAAATCAAATCGATAAACTCATAAATCAAACAGATTAAGTTCAGCAGAAAAAGTGATGACTGATACCAGTTAAATTTTGTTTCTTTTTACTCCTACGAAAATATTATTCTACGTCTTCTAGTAATTTATTCAATTGAATTATCGTATCGAGTTTTTAACTATAAATTCGTCGTTATCGCTTAACCTATTAGTTTTTAATTAAAGTAAATATGGCCTAAACTAACTTTAATGAATAAATCGACGTTTAAAAATAGAATCAAATCATCATGGCAAAAATGGCTGCATTTCAACCAAGAACGGATAAAACGTATTTACCTAAGAAAAAGATTTTAGATAGCCAATTAAATTCATCAAGTTGGTTACGTAGTGAATTCTCAACGAGAGCGAGTGGTAAAATTTCTCCTATATATGCAAAATGGATGAAAGCCAGTCAAGAAAAGATTCGATATAGCAAGGACGCAGATCTCAATGGGAATGGTTATCACGGTAATATTTGGAAAGAATTTTACGTTGATCAGGAGACATTAGATAACGATGATTTACTTGATAATGAAGATAGCTATAATACAACTAGTCCAAAAGGTAAACATCGTGATATAACAGACCTGATAGCTCAACTTTATCCTATTAAACTGCCGTATGTGGCATGGGTTGGTGAAAATAACATCAGCCATTACGAAAGACAAATCGCAAAGAAACAAAAAAACACGATTGCATCAAATAATAACGATCGCTATCAACGTATCGATTATAAATTGTTAAAATTTCAAACTGATGGTAGAATGCCTCCAATTAATAGCCAAGGTCGTGTTATATCTTATTCTATTCCCTATAAATCGACACAAGGCAAGAAAAGAGTAAGCTATCATCTAAATAATAATCAACGTAAAGACGAAATAAGACAAGCAGATAAAGCAGCAAACTCTGTGCTTGGATTACAAATTTCAAATTTACCTTTATCTGCAAGAGTATCATCGAAGCCCTTAATGAATTCTAGTTTAAAAAAGAAAAAATCCAATCAAAGGTCAGCGGGTACCAGTCGCGAATCAAACATAATCATAACCTTAAATGATAATCAACAAATAGAAGAATAAACCTTTTATGTTAATCGATATTGTCGAAACTATGAAATCACATATTTATTTTTCTACCCCTTCTTTACATTTATCCTAAACTACTTCTATTACTTCAGATAGTACGTAACTTCTGTACTCTAGATAGATGTTGCGGGATACGTACATATATATGAACACTACCTTAAAAAATCTATCGTGATGGTCACAATATCGCTAACTGTAAATGATTATTATAAGCATGTATTACTAGTTGTAACTCGGTTTTGAATAATTGCTAAATCAACCTTTTCCATTCTATATGCCACATCATCTTTGAAGTATTACTCTGATACTTTCACAAAATGTACAATCATATCAATTCCTATTACAGCTTTGTAAAAAATAACACAAGAATAATAAATAATCGCACACAAAATTCTATCTCATATAACTTTATTATTTCCTAAAGATCGAATCCCTATCTAGTTTTTTATTTTATAATAATATCAATTATAATAGACTAGATTTTTGTGAATAATTTTTTCGCTGATATATATTTATCCTATAAGAATTTGTTTTAGACGGAGATATAAATAATGTAAAAATCTTAACATCCTTTTTGATAAGTTAGTTTCAATTATAATGTTGCTGTAAAACTCGATTCTATATTGTAATTTTATTTTAAGTTTACGTCTTGCGATTGAATAATAACTTTAGTGTTACGAAATCTCAACAATTATTTTATCCATTTAAATTTAAGTTATTAGCTTTAACGATTAATAAATTTATTGATATTGAAGCTACCTCTGTGCTAAAAAGCAGATTAAAATTTTTGAAAGTGTAACTGATTTATCATAAGGGCTGTATTTCATCTTAGTGATCAATACGCATCTAGTACACAAATTTTTGCAGTATTCAAGAATAGATGCTACCAGCATGAAATCTATGAATCTCTTTCATATTTACAAGATAAACTCATTTTAAAAGTTAGCCAAATACTACCAATAATTTAGTTTCATATGTACAGTAGATCAATATAGTGCGCCAATTTTTGTGGTGTATAAGAATAGACGCTATTAGCATGAAATTGTGAAATTTTTTTATTTATACATGACAAGCTCATTTTTAAATTTAGCCAAATACTATTAATAATCTAGTTTGATATGTGCAGTAACAATAATTCATAAAATATTCGAATTTAGAATTACTAGATATAATGATATACTGTAAATATACACGTTTACAAACAGAAGTCAGTAATACGATACTGCCAACTACAGACGTCAATAGCAGGAATTACCTTCGCCATTTACAGATTTATCGCTTTTGCATAATATAAAAAGATTTACATTTTATTAGTAATAAATACTTGGTTATTATAACCAATGTTTCGGAGTATACTGCAATATCGAAAGATCTAGTTGTATCCATTCATATCATTATTCTCTTTATGATACTTCAGTATGATCAAGGTAATAGTATAATGTAAATAAATACAAAATAAAAGAAAATTTATAGCTTACAATATTAATCCGTAAGTGAAAATAATTGAGTTCTTATACGACTGTGTCTAGTTAATGAACAGACAATATATGATTCTAAACTAATTGGATTATTAGTCCTTATCAATACACTGATATATTTGCAATGTGTATTACTGTAGAAAGTCCAAGTCTTAAATTTGGAATAAGCAATGAGGTATACTGTAAAGCAACTTTTAACGCGTCAATATAATATAGGTTACAGAATTGTAACCTAACTGCGAATACGTGCACCTAAACAACTGCTCTTCACCTTGACAGATTAGTTTTATGCTGAATATTCCATGTGTATCATATATTCATCAGGTATCATAGGCTGTGTGTACACAAATAATTATCGGTGATAAATGCAAAATAAAAATTACGTTCATCGATAAGTGGTAATATTAATGCGGAATCGGTGACGCTGTACTTAACCATGAACACACGCAAAGCCTTGATGTCATTTTACTATCTTATCCGAGCAATAACATGCTAGTACCATAAGCTGTAATCATAAATCTTAAATACTAATTAAATACAATCATTTACTAGGCAACATACATAGATAAACATGCTTTGGGTCGAGAAACTGACATATAAAAGAGATAAGTAAAAAGAATTTCAGAAATTTTTATTCATATAGAGATAGATCTATCTTAACAAACATACACATAATTCCGAGAATTAGTATTAGAGTGAAAAGACTTAAATCAGTTTTTATTTATTACTATGCTTCCCATACAAATAACATGGATAAAATAAGAATAAATAAATTAATTACCACATGGCAAATTTGATTTCATAAAAATTAAAATTGTATCACAACTATTAATTAATACCTGTAACACTCAAGTTGTAGCAATATTATACACTAGTTAAGCCGCAAAACAGATTGTCATAAATGCAATCGAGCAACGAATGCTTTATCACACTGCATATACACTATATGACTTATTTATATGAAAGTCAAAAATAAAATCCAACAATAATGTAATAATTTTGCAAAGAACCCAGTCCTTAAATTTTAAATCGCTATCGCGACATTCTGTAGTTGAATCTAAATCGTGTTATAAACCCGTACAGTAAAGTTGTAAACAATTGCTGTATTACCAAATACGAAAATTCTTATAGACCAGAATATATTAACAAATAATAGTCATAATGTGCTTTTACAATAATGTATAGAATGATTAGAAGCAGATCATCGTTAATTTTTGCAGCGAGGATAACATGTATTTAATTGCTTCTATTGTACTCGTATGATGCACTGCTAGGATCTCAGGTGGCATAGATACATAAAATATTCTTTTCAATATCGGTCTATACAGTAATACTTTTAAAAAGTGATCCACAGGCTAGAATAATAAAATATTGCGGTAGTAACTGAATTTAAAACTGAAAAAATATTTCAAAAATAATACGCCGCCAATGATGCAGTAAGTCCAACAAAAATTGATAATAAAATCCATACTAAACGAAAGGGCGTTAGTACCTGACGATTTGACATACCACTTAAATGGTTATCGATGCGTTCTATGGACTTTTGCAAGCCATCCATCTGTTGAGACCACCTATCTTGTTGAGAATGAAGTGATACAACCAAATCTTGTAGATGCTTAAATTCTCGAAAGCCTGGATTATTACGTATTGACATTTCTCTTTTTTCACTTCCAGTAGTGTGTGTAATTGATGATTCATCAGAACTAGAATCGACTTGTTTCCTGTGGCTATTCATTCTGACAACTTTTCTACTAGCGTTTTTAGTAAGTGACGATTCCCTTTTAACAAGATTTTTTACTACAGGGTTACGATGCCGCCTTTGTGTTTTAATTTCGCCATTCCATTCGTACTGCATTAAATCATTACTTGGATCCCAAGGTCGCATACTGTAACAAATCATGTAATAATTTTTAAATCAGGGTCTCAATATCGTCTTTACAGATAATTAACCGTAATAATCATCCGGACATTTACTTCATAAGTCCCAACAACTATTTTATGAGTATTTTAAATTTTAAACTTTATTGCTTACTCAATATAACGATAGACATATCGATTTTCATCCTCGTTCACACAGCTAAATAATTTTGGTTGCCATTCAGTACCACAGTCTTTCCGTTCTTTTGCGTCTTTCCTCTGACGATCTTCTAGTTTTGATTTCTCAATAGTTGCTGCTTCCTATATATTAATATAATACATAGATAAATTAATCTATGTTGGAATTATGAGCAGCAAATTAAAATTACAGCTAAGAGTAAAATTGTCCTTATATCATATTTACCTGATCACTTTTATTGATAGCTTCAGTTACCTTACTCCATAACCTGAATTAATATAAACAAGGTACCAATATCAACTTTATACTGTACATAAATTATTTAAGCAATTTTGTCTAGGAAAAGCAAAAACACTTACTTTTCAGATTCGTTATCATCTTGAGATTCGTATTCTACAACATTCACTTTTAATCTACTTTTCTTTACTTCAGGTGTTGGATTCCAAAACAATGATCTCTCCTATAATTAATTATAAGTTATTGATCAATGATATCTCCTTTACTGAATAGTCAATATCGTTTAAATAGGCTAATGTATATCATCGATGTAACATTCTCACATCAGTAACTTTATCGGTAATATAAATCTCTCCATCCCAGTGACCATCCAAGGTAAATAGAACCTCTTTACCATGCTTAATTTTGCCGCTAATTAGATTAGTAGCATCTTTCTTTGCCCAGAATGACTAAAGGAAATAGCGATTGATTAAAAAAAAATTTTTAAATCAGCTTATAATAAATGTAATAGCTAATTCACAAGGGGCTAACAAGTACTTCCGTTGCGAAGACAAATTAACTTTATATTTAAAATTGTTATTACGAACAGTCTATCAAGCATCAAAGTTGAATATATGGTACCTTTAATTTAAAAGAAATCTCAGCAGTATATCCAGTCTTCTTACATGTAATGGAAATATCACCTCCAAGTTCCATTGTCATCGTACCAACTAATATACCTATAATGTGTAATATATTAATTAAAGCATTACTCAAATAGTGTTAATATATACTCGTAAGCAAAGATTATATGTATCCTAACAGACTAGTTTCCAATTAGTGCTAAGAATGGAAATATATCATGTCATACTGGCACCGATCATAATATATTGCCTATTTCTTATAGACTAACCTTTGCAGTTTGCGTATGGTAACGTAATGATATACTCTTCTCCTTGGTCTAGCAACATCAGAGTCGCTGAACCATCCAAAATCGCTTGCGTTGAGTTACCTTTCGACATCAAATTTGTGGAATCATTAGAATTACTTGAACCAGACCTCTAATTAACTAAGCTTATATCATTGCTATCTACAGGTTATGCAGTGAAGTTAATTTGATTTCGTTATCGTTATTCATTACGAGAGCTAACCATAAAATTTCGATCTAGTAAGAATTGAGGCATTTAGACAAAATCCATCTTTTCGATTTGCCATGAAAAATGCTGAAATTGGTGGGTGATGTGATACCTGTTACGAATTAAAAATATTTTAGATTATAGTAACGACATTTCTAAACCATTTTTCGAGCTAAGGTGCTACTTGTAGCTGCAAACATTCTTAAAAGTACGATACCTGTTCTGAAACGTAGTATGTTACTGAATCTGTTTCTGGGTGGTTCCATTGGCACCGATATATTTCTCCTAGAAGAGGGTTGTAAGGCTTTTTTAATCCTTTCGGCTTTTTGTAAAATCCAGATAGATACCAACGAACAATTTCTTTTATTCTAACTACAGGACTTTCTTCTTTTGCAGCACTGTAATACGTATATCCAAGAAATTAAATTATATAATAGAAAAAAATTCCAGTAAGTAACTTTAAGGATCTACTATACATTTTACATCTTGAATAAACTGAAAACTATAATGGCTATAGATACCTTTAAATATGACACACTATAATAAACGTACATTTATGTATCAATTTTTCACATTTACAAACCGTGATAGGATATCAGCATGAAAGTAATAATCAGCAAGCTTTTGCAGCAACGATCGAGGTTCAAGAATAAAAGTCGGTAATACAACTCGGGATAAATCCATTCCTGGCCTAACCTAAGAGATTATATCGTTTTGAGATAAGTAGTTTGAATATAACAACGCTAATTGGACTCTAAATCAAAGACATGGCCTTACGTACTTGCTTTAATATAGCCCAAAGAAGGTTTTTATTTTCGTCCTCCATTGATTCAACCAATTCTCCACTCTGAAATATAATACAGTATTAAAACTCAACTCCAATAAAATTCGTCATCTGCTTATAAATTTGGCAAGAATTATTAGCTTTACCTCTACTACATCATCGTATGGCCCAGGAACATAAGAGGTTGAAACCACGATGTCCTCATGATTGAGAGAGATTGCGTCTAGACATTGAAATGCAGGCCGTATCAAGGATAGTGTCACAAATTAATTCAGATTTATTTTGCTCTTATTAATTATATTATTTATTTATAGCTCACCACTGCCTTCAGCAGGTCCTGTTGTACGATCATCAGTTTCCTAAATTAGCAATAAAATTTTTTTCAATATTATAATCATTGTAACAGCTACGATGAAGCACTGAATAGCTTAGATAGCACTTTAGCTTCATATTTAGCTTTACCGACAGTCCAAAGAATTCTCTCTTTCTTTCTAGATCTCTATTGAATCAAACGATAAAAACAAAACATAAACGTATTAAAATGTTATTATCAATTATGAAACACTATGGCTTGCTTATAATACCATGTCAGATAACATGAAGTTAAAATTTATTAATCTACGATAACGATCCAAGTACAGCAGTTTAAAAGATTAAGTTGAAATTTATGCTTCAATAAATTCTGTACTTGTTAGCTGTTAAGTATTTTATTGCAAAGTCTTCTTTTGGTTCATTAGCGTTTACGTCCTCTCGGGTAGGAGTATCAGCGGCATCATCTTTAACATCAACATGAGGATGAGGGTTTCGTGATTTGATAGAAACTTCGATATAATCCATCCAGCATCTCCCTACATAAAATTTTTGTAACAATTAGTAAACTAACTTACAAAGGAGTATTAATACCTTAAGAATATAATTGCAATAGAAGATTAAGATATCAACCAGTTTCTTCTGTTGCTGCTCTAATGATAAGATGGTCACGAGGCATAGGTTGTGCAATTGAGCCTGATAATTCCCCCTTTGGACCCTAAATGAAAAATTTAATCAATCATAATCAAGTTTAAGCACTTCTATCGAGACTTGAAGAATTTTTACGATTTATAATAGTAAATATATTACCCTAGTTGCCCAAATTGATTCGTCTAATGGGTGATAAACCTTGAAGCAGAATCCTTCTTTTTTTGACGGTCTCTCGATAACATCGCATGTGTTTAAAAGAACAGTACCTATCCATTGCTCATGCTTTGAATTTAGTAAATATAGCATAAATTAGCTCAAGTGTGTAATCGAACTATAAATTAGGATATAAGTATTGTTTTGTACGATCGCTAGAACGTAATTAAATTTATTATCAATTCAAATTCAGATTCGATTGGTTGATCAATACATTTTACTAACTGAAATATACAAAGTACCTTTTGATGTTTGTAAATTAGTAATACTCCAGGTTTTAAGACGCACCAATACTTTGCCCAGGTCTTTAATGAACCCCGAATCTGAATAATAAAGTGAAGATACATCTTTAGTAGTGCTTGAAAAGTTGTTGATATACGACGTATACATGTGTATATAATGGACTTCAAATCAGACTTGCTAAACCTATAATAAAATTGTTTCAATCAACCAACCTTTAACCAAGACTGGGTAATAACCGCTGATGGATCAGTTAGACTACTGTAAGACTCTTCATGCACCTTCTTTTTGATTAATTTATAATTCATTTTCATAGCCTACTCAATTAAAGTGGAAATAGATTAAGACCAGTCATAAAATACGAGTAGAAATTTATAATAGATGGCATAGTTTAAGAATAGAGTATAGAGACTTGAAGAATTAAAAATAGCTAAAATTAAATTATCCCCATATAATGATATAGTAATTTATGAATATTTCTAGATGCAATTGATTATTTCATTGCGAATACCAAATCTTGATTAATTAATACCTTAAAAGACTCTTTCCTTAACTTCTTATCGCCAATCTGTCAGATGGGAAAAGGAGTTAGTATAGTCAGTACTATGCTTAGAGTAAGGCCACATAATTTGTCCACAATTTTACCTTATAATTAAAGGAATATCTACCCGCATGGGCCCTATCGAATGACAAAGAAGCTGGCCCATCCTCATCTTCAGTAGAAATATCACCTAGCAAGATCGTTTTTCCAGTATCAAAAACAATTAGCTACTCTAATTGTCAATATTATTAAATAAAGGATCCCATATTACAAGAAAATTGCTCATAAAGGATACATAAGTAGATTAAATTTTTGGCAAATGGATTATTACAATTATCAATAAAGGTGCTTTGCTATTTAGTATCCCGTATCATATTTACAGAGTACGCCCTAAGGTAGTTAACTGTTGTTTGCTTTTTTACGCAATCAGTTTATACTAAGTTTAATAATTGAAGTTACTAAATTTAATCTATTTATTTTCCCTACAGCTCTTTAATTCATCTTTTGAACACCTGTCTTAAAAAATGGCTGCTGTAACCTCATTTTGCTCCGTTATGTATCACTATCAATACAACTCTATTACCTTGACTGCAAGCTGAAGAATCATGACCTGCATGTATATCCTGACCTGCCGAATATGAATGACGCGGCAGTCGTAAATGTTTCATATCTTCAGAACATGAATTATATTCCCCTAGAATAATTCAATTATACTTCAATGCTTCTAAAATGCATAATATATCCGAGCTAAGAGAGAATTTCAAAATAACACTACAACTAGTATTGTGTGAATACTGTACAATGTACATAATAGGTCTAACATGGTTGTTAATTATATTGTTATATGGTGAATGAAAGTTAAAATATAGTAAATGATCATCTATAACTTCGTAGCTTCCCTATTTGTTGTAGATAACTTACCTGTATCAGGACTAAGTTTATCGTTATAAAGCGCGTCGCTTTTTTTCTCACTTAGTAATAACTTCTATATCAATAAAATAAAACGGATGAAAAAATTCATTCAATAGATTGTAGTTTTAATCAGATATGCTAACAATTTATCTTTTCCTATTGGTTTCGATGACTTTTTAATTGGGCATTTCAATGATTAACTATATCAACAATTTGAAGTCAAAGTGTATACTCAGACTGTCATTATTATGTAAAGTAACCATTACAAAATTCAAGATAGCCAGCATTGTATGTAATTGCCTCTATGATGACCTTAAAACGACTGTAATAAAATGTAATAAATGATACAAGGAATAAAAAATATTATTTGGTCCAAGTATTTCTAACTTGCTTCAATTACTCATCATGAGATATAAACTACTGCAATATGAAGATTACATTTACGATTTTAACTTTTGTTAACCGAGTTCTTACCTTATGCGATGACTGATTATTTGGCTGACCGTGATCAGCGCCAGCCATTAGTATTTTATCCGACTAAAATATAAGAATAATCATAAACAATGAACGTTTTAAAATAGATTCATAACATCCATATTACAAAATAGACAATAGTAATCGAAAGAAGCAGAGATCAAAGTGACATGAAAGTTCTTAGAATTATGATAATAGTTGGTCAAGTAGTTTAAATCATAATGATATGAAATAAATTAGCGTACGTATTAGAAAATTGATTTTGTTATCTGTGGCTGTATATTTATTTCATCGAAATTAATTGAAAAATTAGCCCTCCCATAATTGAAAATAAGCTAACAATCAATTACAGTACAGTACAATCAAATGGGTACAAATCACTACTAGTAAGGTTCGTGACGACATCAGCATCAAAACAATACCGTAAAATAGCGAATTCATCATCAAGTGTAAAAAAATACAATGTTAAACTGTTTAGATGGCTTTGACAAGATGAAAGGAAAGAAAAAGGACTTGGCATAACATAGCCAGTTTTGATGCAATACCAAGGATAGTCAATAGATGATATTATAACAGCCTCATGTTCAATGAATAGAAGTGACGGTGTGGCGGTAATATGGTTCCGGCATACTGATTTTTCCTTCACATCCTCTCTTTAGACAGCATTCGAATTTAAAATATTGTGTACGAATATGCTATTAGTAATAACTTTATTATTAAAATGAAATGTTATCTGTTATTATCATATCCTGTCAAGCATATTATCATTCCTGATGATTGATCCATTTATTTCAATTGCAATAATATCGGAATGTTTCATAAAATACTGGTGTACAGTTCAATCATGAAAGTTCAAGTCTCTTTATAAGATGGCAATAAATCAATTTCTGAGATATTAAAGAGTCATATTATGTATCTTGGTTAGTCGACTCGAAAGTAGACCAAATGAAATAAATGAGTACAGTAGCATATTGGCAGTATCAACATAGTACTTAATTAGAGCTACTTTTTTAGAGGCAATCAGTGATCATATTTACTCATAAATAATGATGGCATCAGACGACCGATAAATAAACTCGATAACAAATACGGATAAATGTTTTTCATAACAAAAATTCTTAGAAAAGTTCGTAGTCAAATAAGCTACAGTTAAAATGATCGCTTTCTGTTTATAATTAAACTAGCGGTGAGACTGACAGTTGGTCTAGGATAATTTTTAACAATAGCCAAGTCAGTAATGATGATAAATTATAAATTATGATTACCATCATTATTATTGCTATCACAATGGTTATCTTTTCCTTCAATGATAGCTAGTCTTGATAGCAACTGGGTCACATCATAGCACTTATTAACCACAATTGCAGTCAATCTATAATTAAGTATACCCGTTGACTAGGTAATAAGAAAAGCTAACAGAAATTATCAATTCCATCTTACTGACAAATTTCATTAGGCTAGGTAAAATCATTTCAATTGATGCATCTATTGATCGATGTCGGTCTTGCTAAAAAATATTATGATGATCCTACGGTAAGTAATATTTTACATTTTGATCTAGTTAGGATAAAATGAACTACAAACGCGTAAGTTAATCCTACCACAACTTTCAATTATAATTTGGTATTGAGAGTTTATAGTCTTCTCAATATTCATCTAATATGCGACGTAAACTATCATGACAATGATACTATAATAGCCACGTACATGTTATAGACTGGAAAATAGTAGTTTGTCTAGCTGTAAAACGCAAACAAAGGTTGATCAATGTATTTCAAATTATTTCTATTGATGTGGTCAGCGACTAGATTCATAGTAATATTATTGCTATAACGATTCGATGAATGTTCTTTGTAGGCATCTACAACAGTGATTTCAAATTCGATAGCGCAAAAGATGAAATAATCCGATAAGTTAAAACAGTATTAGAATTGAGATATAGGTAGTAAGCATGAGTTCTGTTCAGTAGAATACTATTTCAATTTAACACTATTGAGGGTAGTCTAGCCAAATGGAAAGATACGTGTATGCTAGTATGTCAATTATTGTTCACTTGTATTTCAGTGTTGACAATATATCTCCAACGAGGATCGATCATGATGATTGGATATAATTGACTTTATAATCCGATAAAGCAGTATCCAAACCCAATCGAATGGTACTATACAGTATTGATAAGATAATGTTAATCATTTACCTAACGGAGACCGAAAGGGAAACTTTGGAAGGAGCATCTTGTTAATTGTTATCATTTTCCGAGAAAATGTTTGTGTAGTGTGGTCTATACTGTAGATCGATATGCTATCTCCAACATGTATTGACAATATCATACTACAATCCAAAATGATGTTGTTGGAAGCAGGATCGGTCGAATGTGCTTTATTCCTTTGAACTAATTTATAACATTTCTATATTTAAAATGAATGCTGGACAGTATGCATTTTGATGTAATGATCCATTGGTATGATGATGATTTTGTTGATGGAAAGGTTATCATTCAATGGACAGTAGCGATACTTGGGTATAGGATAACATGACTATCTTTCGGCTATTACTGCAGTCGTAGTCCATTTTGACTGACAATATCGGAAAGAAGTCGTTAGCTAGACGTACGTCCTGTTGAAGTATACTATATTATAATAAAAAGAAGAGGGATGATGATTTTACTGCAGTACAATACAACGGAATAGACGCGTGGATGATTAATTCAAACAGTATTCTGATATTGGTTTAGGACTGCCTTTCTGTTCATACAGTCTCTACATTTGCATGGAAAAAATGAGATACATGTAGAGTGGAAAAGAATAAACTTGTCAATTAGCTGTACTCATGATTATCAATCAACACTGATGATGAACCACTAGCGAATGCAGTGTGGACTCCAACTGGATCGAATTTCAAGCATCGTGTTATAACCTATCATCAGCCTGCTACTATTAACGAATCAACAATATCAACAAGAATCAATCAATTCGACCGTGGCCATGCTGTATGTATCAATAATACTTGATTAGCATTTACCCCGTCATCATCCATAGCGCACAATTCAAAATAGCTGCAAAAGGTTTGACCAGTAGAATTGCGATTACAAATAGGTTGCAAAAATGGAGACGTTGCTGCTGCTGCTGCTGCTGCTGCCGGTTGTGGCAATCTTGAACCTCCTTGAAATTGCAGTCCGTTGATGTGAGAATTTTTAGTCGAGTGTTAGTACGTAATATTAGTAGTGTACAGTGTATAGTACTCAATGACGCATGTATCAGTACTGTCCATTTTGGGGGTACTGTAGTTTTTGAAAGAACGGTTTGTCTTTAAACGTAATTTATGAAAAAATGAAACGTCGTACAGCAATTTTGACGACAGATCCTTGTCAATCAACTTATTCTCTTTCGT